CCAACTGATTTATTAAAGTACGATACAAAAGCCACAAGTTTGTATAATAATTTAATCACGTTTCATAATGCAAATAAGCCACGATGACTTCACGAAAATAGTACTTTAAACTGTATAAAAAAACTTTAATGAATTGTGTAACTATCATCCCAACTATTTCCTAATTTGGGACGTTCTCCCTGGAATTTAAGGTACATAACCGTTAATGTTAAATAGATACTGCGCCCCACGAATGACCACCACGTGTTTCCAAGTTCACATTTCTGCGGTTCACATTGGGATCGGGTTTATCGAAAATTCAGCAAACGTTCGCTTTGCAAAAATCGCGGAACACTTCAAGAAAAATGAACCAGTGATAATCACATCATATGAAGCCATGAAATGGCGTCATTTGTTTACTAGCACTAACAAATTGGCCTAAACTATACTATTACTAGTGATGGCAATCGGCTGTTTTTCTAAAAATCCCGCGCGGGTGCAGGATCACGCGCGTGATCCGCGGGATTGGTTTTTTTATATTTCGGAATGGCTATTTTGATATTTTGTAATTGAGATTTTTCAATTAGAGGAATTATTGGCAAGTTATGTTTAAACTTTCTTTTAGACCTTGATTTATATTTATAGCAAAAAGTTTGTATGATTCCCCATGGGCTTATAATTGATTCACCTATTTATTTAAAAATAATTAGTTTATACTTTTTGGCTAAAAAAAATAAAAATAACAATAATAATTTACCAAAAAAAAGGTATAAATTTGTATCATTATACTAATTGCACCTCTAAGTAAGCCAACATTGCTTAATATCAATAAAGAAACTATATTAACATTAAATACAAATAACATATATGCGTATGCAACAATTCTTACAGTTTGATGCCTGGTGTTAATAATTGATAAAAACATATTAAGATGACAATATGAATAAAAATTACGTAATCAACTTTGCTCTGCTTTAATAGTTTCAAATGGCTCATGGTCAGAATCTCCCCACGGAGACTTAGTCGAAGTGATTTCAATAAGTGTGCGATTTAAAAGACTATTTGAAGGATCTATAGCATGTTTTAAATAGTGGTTTTGTTGTTTTTAATTGGATTATTTATGTGCTAAGATAGGTTCAAATAAAATAGGCACATTTACCTTAATACGCCTTTAAATCAAAATAATAATACGTTAGAGTGAAACACTATATGGATTTTGGCAAATATACTATTCTATTAAGATCATATGAGTGAAATCCAAATTAACATACTAACGCAGATTTTAGCCTAACCTATAATAATTTATTATCCGTCATTTTACTATGATCAGACTGCCAAATAACTTTGGTTATTTGGCAGGTAACATAGTGGTGGCAGAAAAAATTCGCGACCATGTGATCGCCGACGTTTCCGACCCCTTAGATGCAGCCCGGAAGCTTTATACAAAATTTATGCATTTTTTTCAAGAACCGAAGATCGATATCTGATATTAACATATAATTAATACCATTATTAATTGATGCATGTAAATTAACGAAATTTTCGAATTTACAAATAATAAATCGATATATACATGTTATGATGAATATAAAAGTAAAATTAAATTAGATCTAATTTACATAATCTATCATTATGTAAAAATGCAAAATTTATTAATAGATATAGCGAACATAAATGTAAAAGCGAAAATTGTATACATGTAATTTATCAATTTTATGAAAATAAAGGTTTTTTTTCGAAATTAAATATATTAAATTTGCCATCGATTTTATTATAAAACGGGAGAATTTTAGTATAGGTAACAAGTATCTATTATAACTTGCAACACGCTTTTATTAATTAAAAGAAATTCGTCTTTGATATACAAATTAATTAAAAAAATGTCTACTCCAAACATTACGATTCATGACACTAGTGAAGAAACTCGTTTTTGTACTCGCTGTAAAAAGACCAAATCAATTAGCGAATTCACAAGGCCAAGTGGAAATAAAATTCAAACCTTTGCTAGATGTAACCCATGTGCTGAAAAAGAAAAAAAAAGAAAAGAGCTAGAAAGCTCAAAAACAAACCTTCAAAATCCCTTTCATCAAATATTGAAAACACACCATCCCTTCTTTAAATATTACTAATACACCATCTATTCCTTTAGACATTGCTGATACACCATCAATTCCTTTAGATATCGCTAATATGCCATCCATTCCTTTAAACATCACTGATACACATCCATTTCTTTAGATATCAATGATATGCCATCCCTTCATTCGGATAACAAGAGTACATCGCCCCTCCCTTCAAACATCAAAAATATCTCTTACCTTCTCTTAGGCGATGATGTATCCTCAGACATTGATGATAATGAAAGTGACGAGAATGATTTGTTTATGATATATGTGATCTTGAAGAGGCCATAGCCTTTAAATTTAGAGATGAAGAAATAGATAACCAAGTGAATTTCTCGATAATAGTGGAGATTGAAGAAGACTTGGTTAGCGAAGAAAATTTATCTCCAGAACTTGATCAGAATATAGAAGATAAGTCTCATACCATAGTTAAAGCATTTCTCACACCTCTTCAAGAAGGATCGAAGTATTACTGGGAACTTTGAAATTTATACCTTAATACAAAGAATGGTCAGTATATAGGATGTGCGACAGCCCGTCTTGGCTGTGCACAAAGAACTGATCATCAACATCAACGACCAGATGACAGGCCTGTTAAACGAATAGCTAAAATTCGGCCTACCATTGAACGCTTCTCATGTAATGGGGTTATAACAATTAAAATGAATTTATGTAAGCGGCGAGCAATAATATCTGTGCAGCATTTAGCACATGAACATCCCACGTATCACAAATCAAATTTACCTATAGGTAAAATAGGATAGTAAATTTTAGTAATGTTAAATTAATTTCTTGCTTTGATTAATATATATTAAAATAGAGTAA